ATCCAAACCAGCCAATCATCGCCCTATCAGTCTACTCTCATGCATTAGAAAAGTGATGGAAAGGGTCGTTGACAGTGCGATCAAGCCGCACTTGCTCAGTAATAACCTGCTCGGTTTTAGATCTGCCAGGACTACTCAGCTCCTGAAATCATTACTGGCCTTAGTCCAACCATTGTGGTGAGGAGAGACTGACTGCCCTCAACGTCGAGTCAGCATATGACACAGTATGATATCAAGGAACCCTAGCAAAACTAGAATCAATGGGAATCCATGAGGGAACTCTCCACTGATTGGAGTCAGACCTAGCACAAAGGAAGGTGGTTGTGATTGTTGGGCGTCAATTATCTCAATTCCAAAATACTACTGTAGGAGCTCTTCAGAATGGTGTCCTAGGAGCAATCATCTTCAGCTATTTTATCAATGATGTTCCTTTTATTGTAAGATCAGAAGTGGTAATGTGTAATTGCACCATTCGTGACTCCTTAGACAATGAAGCTGATCATGTTCATATGCAGCAAGACCTGGATAATGTTCAGATTTGGGCTGATTAGTGGCAAGTAACATTCATGCCACACAAGTTCCAGGCAATGACTATCCCAAACAATGGAGAATCTAACCATCTTCCCTTGAATTTCAAATCGTATTACCATTGTTGAATCCCCAACTATCAATCCCCTGGCGGTTACCATTGACCAGATCTGAACCGCCTATTTAAGTACTGTGACCACAAGAAAAGGCCAGAGACTGGGAATCCTATGGCAAGTACCTCACCTCCTGACTCCCCAGTGCCTGTTCAGATGTGTGAAGGAGTACTCTCCACTAGTCTGGATGAGTGCAGCTCCAAAAAGACTTTAAAAACTCAACACCATTTAGGACAACATGTGCAGGTGCTGATGTTGGACTGGGGTGGACAAGATCAGAAATCACACGACACCAGGTTATAGTCCAACAGGTTTATTTGAAAACACAAGATTTCAGAGCCTCGCTCCTTCTTTGGGTGTTAATGAGGTGGTATCAGATACAGAATTCATGAGTAAACAATCAAAGGGTCAGAGGATCAAAGGCACCCTTTGATCTTTTACTCATAAATTCTGTCTCTTATACCACCTCACTAACACCTGATTCGTGAGGCTCCGAAATCTTGTGTTTTCAAATAAACCCGTTGGACTGTAACCTGGTGTTGTGTGATTTCTGACCTCATTTAGGACAAAACAGGCTGCTTGATTGAAACACTGCCCACCACCTTCCTCATTCACTCCACGCACCACTAGTGTACAGAGACAGCAGTGTAGACTGTCTACAAGTTGCATTGCAGTTACTCATCAAGGCTCCTCCCTCAGACTCTTCTAAATGTGCAACTCTACCATCTAGAAGTATAATGGCTACAGATACATGGGAAAACCACAATCTCTAAGTTCCCATCCAAGCCATTCACCTTCCTGAGGTGAAGCTATATCACTGTTTCTTTACTGTTGCTGAGTCAAAATCATGGAAGTCTCTGCTTAAAAGTACCTATTCCATACAGAATTCAGTGGTTCAAGAAACCACCTATTCAAGGGAAATTAAGGAGAGATAGTAAATGCTGACTTAGTCAACAATGCTCACAGCTAACAAATGGATAACAAAAAAAAGCAAAGAAGGAGAAAAAGAGGAACTAAAGGCAAGAGACAGCAGGATACTCAGCATGGCTGAGGCAAAGTCTGGAGCCAGATAGGAGCCAGGCTGTCAAATGTGCTGAGTGCTAGGGCGACAGCCAGGCCAAGACCCAAGGTGGGAGTGAAATCAGGAGTGAAAGGAGCAACTCAAGTTCCTGGAGGTAAAAAGGGGCATTGAAAGTAAAAATGGACTTTGGGAATGGGAGGGCAGGTGGATGACAGGTTTGAGGATTGGTTTCTCTCAGATTCTAGAAAACCACACCTGGAAATGACCTAGACCTTGGTGATAGGGCACAGTTGAAAAATTTGCAGATGAGCAGAAACTGGGAAGCATTGTAAAACTGTGAGGAGAATAGTGTAGAAGTTCAAAAGGACATAGACAAGTTATTGGAGTGGGCAGATGAAGTTCAATGTGGAAAAAGTAAGGTGATTCACTTTGGAAAGAAAAACAAGGAGGGGCAAAATGAAATAAAGGGTACAGTTTCTGAAGAGGATACAGAAGCACAAGGATCTGGTTATGCATGTTCTTGACAGTGCAATTAACAAAGCATGCAGCATCCAATGTTTTATTAATAGAGTCTTAGAGTACAAAGGCAGAGGGATTGAGAACAAGAGGGTACAGGTTTAAAGTAATTAGTAAAAGAACTAAAAATATTAGGAGAGAAAACTTACATACAGCAAGCAGTTAAGGTCTGGGATGGATGAAGGCTGAATAAGACTGTTATTTGAAAAGCAAAACATGCAGTTATGGGGAGAAGACAGGAGAATGGCACAAATTGAAATGGTCATTCGGAGAGCTGGCACAGACACAAAGGGCCTCATGGCCTCCATCACTGTTGTAACAATTCTGTGATTCACTAACTCGGGTTGGATTGGCTAGTCTGTCTGATGAAGATGTTACTCATAGCATTTGCAGTCAAAAATTGTGAATGCAATGTTCAAATTTGGTCAATGAACTTGATAGATAGCACTGTATTGACTGGGCCCATCCTCTTCAACATGTATTCATCAGCTTTCAAAAGATACTCAGCTCTCATTAAGATGGGAGCAGACTATAATGTCATTCAGCAAACATTATGCCTATATCTAACATCTTCCAGTATCTAATCCCCTTTGGTTAATCTTAAATTCCTCAGCAAATGTTTAGGTGATCATTAAAGATTTAAATCCAATCGTTGCAGCAGATATTATAAATGTAGCTGTAGCTATTCAAAAATTCCAGAACTCATTTGAAGTGATGAGTTTAGGCAATGACTTATTATCTGTATTCAAACTGAAAGTCTGTACTAATGGGTGAACTATATCATTAATTGTGAATATCTTTATTACCGGAACACTGCTTTGCAGGCCTGCAGGAATAGTAGTGGAGATTAAAGCAAAAAACCGCACATGCTGGAAATCTGAAATAGAAACTCAGCAAGTCTAGCAGTATCTGTGGACAGTGACAGTTAATGTTTCAAAACGTTCTCTCTCTACATATGCTGCCACACCTGTTGAGTTTCTCCAGCAAGTTCTGTTTCATAGTCGTGGAGCTAACATTTACCCCGATAAAGCTTCACTTTTGCAGCAAAGCATTACAAATTTGCACCTTTCTTTCACGTAGCCAGGTTTTATATTATTTCCAATTACATTTTTGCTCAATTGCTGTTGACAGCAAAATGGTCTTCAAGGCTTAGTCCAGGGTGTTACCTGGGATAGCACAAAGGTAAACATTTCAGTCCAAAAATATTGCAACAACAAAACAGGAACATGAAGCTGTATTTTGATTCCTATCTATTCAGTGCTCTGGGTTCTTAAATCTTGATATAAACTTACATACCAATGAGCAACAGGGCTGCTAATGTGCAGTGCTTGAACTGATCCATATCAATGTTACAACCTTTATATAATGCTTCATAGAATGAAATTCAAAATCCATCCACATGTAGTCCACCTTTCAGAACTCTTTCAGTCTTCAAAATACTCAGCATAACCTAAAGAATTCCTGGGTTTTTGCAGTTTGTTAAAGTAGTAAGTAGTCAAATGCAATCTGTTTAGCACAACATCTAGAAAATTTACTTTACTAAAAGAGATCTAATAGCTTAATCAAGCATCTCAGAACTACAGAATCAAAGAATTGTTATGATGCAGAGAGAGGCCATTTGCTTCAACATGTCTGCACCAGTTAGGAACAACCTCTCAATCCTGTTCCACCATTCAAAGGCTGATCTATGGCCTAGCTCCATGTACCTGCCTTTGGCCCATATCCCTTAATACCTTTTCTAATCAAAAATTCATCCATCTCAGATTTAAAATTAACAACTGATTAGCATCCACTGTCACTTGTGGAAGAGAGTTCCAAACATCTACCTTTGTGTGTAGAAGTGCTTCTGAACATCTCTCCTAACAGTCTGGCTCTAATTCTCAGCTTATGTCCCCCAGTTCTACAATCCCCAACCAGTGGAATCCTAAGGTGTATTGCCCAGAACTGCTCAGAGTACTCCAAGTGGGGTAAAAATAATTGAAGCCTTAACACAGATCCTTGTGAAATACCACTGGTCATATCCTGCCAATTTGAGCGATCAGAGGTTCTTTGAGCATTTGGACTTAGTGTCAGTCTCCTGCGTTTTCCCCATAACCTTATGCATTGTTTCTATTTAAGTAATCATCCAGTGCCCTCTTGACTTTCTCAACTGAACCTGCCTCCACCACATTTCCAGGAGTGCATTACAAATCCGAACCACTCATAAAAACATATTTTCTCACTTCATATTTGTTTCTTTTGAAAAACACTTTAAAACTGTGGATCTGGTACTCCTGAACTACTCCACCCTAGAATCTTCTGTCAAATTTCCCCTTGGCTTTCTTCTCCCCAAGGTAACCAGTCCCAACTTCAAGAATCTATCCTTGCAACAAGAGTTTCTCATCTCTAGAAACATTATTGTAAGCCTCTTTTGTACTTTCTGTTACATGCACACCCTTTCTAAAGTGTAGCACCCAGAACTGCATACACTACTCCACTGATGACATTAGAATTTATTAGCATGTAATAAGATCTTATACTACAACTTTCGGAAACAGATATTTGTCCTTAAAGGATCAAAGACACAAAAATAGTGTCAGTAGATCGGAGGTTAATTTATCAAATAGTTGTCACCTGGCTATTTAATTTGTTTGATTTCCTACTATGTAGCCCAAAACATAATCCACTTACCCAGGCTGCACAATGATGAGCTTAAGTAGTTCATTAATCATGGTAAAAAAGATCCAATAATACAAGATTCGGAAGTGGGGAAAAGGGGGACTAGCTGGGCTATATTTCATTCAACCTGGTAGAATAGGGAGATGCTGAAGATGCTTACCTTAATAAGCTACTTCAACATAATGATTCACTTTTTCTCGACTGTTCCTGGAATGCATAGCAGAATTTACAGGTTGCGAGCGTCATGGGGAAACAACAGTGACATGGTGTGAATTTCATTATAAGGAAAGCTTTCATTTAGATTTTGGAGTCAATACAGATTTGATGTGATTTGAATCAAATTATTAATTAGAGCCTATGAACTAAACCCTATAGCCAAAGGGAAATAACAATAATGTAAAAATTCTCAACCATGTGACAGCACACGCAAGACATGAATATGATCATAGAACCAAGGAAATAAAAACTAGAAAATACTATAAATGGACACAGAAACGTGAAAACTATATGACTGGATGAGACAATGTATTTAACAGACAGAGGTGTCAGAAAATGTTATGCTGTCAGCCACATGTAGAATTTTTTTCTTGCAGTATTTACATGTAACTGTCAAGAACTCTCAAATTTTGTTTAAATAACAAGATACAAATAAACTAACTAAGTTATCATAGGTTTTTAGTCAATCTAGAAACTACAACATTTCATAAAATACTTTTTCAAAAATGTATTTTTGAACCTAAAAAAAAATCTATAATCAGATATTTCCAATTGCCTTTTGTAAAAATGGAGATCCAAGTCATAAAAGTTGCAAATAAAAAAATAAAACTATTCTGGAGCACTACATTTAAATACACAGATACAAACCTGAAAGAAAAAAAATGATTTCCTCCTGTGGTTAAGCAGCACAATTTGGGCAAAATATTTATTATAGATCTTGAAGGAAACCTTATAGTAATAATGTCTAAATCATGTAGGAGTTTCATCATATATATTCTCATGAGAGATAATAAAAATCTGATTTAAAAATAAATAAGCACATCAATTAGCAACTAATTTAGTAATGAATAAAAGGCTTGCAAGACTAACCTTTGATTGTACATGCCCTTAAAGTTATAGTTGGCTCTGTAGTTGGGCAGTGGCTTTGGCTCCAGTGGTCTATAGATAGCAGGTTCTCCTCTCTTCATCGCAAGACCATTCAGCTCTACAGTTGGTGTTATACTACCTGAAACACCCAAAAAATGCATTCAATAACCTCAAAAAACATGATTAAACAATTGAACCTTTTTCATTGAATCCTTACAGTGTGGGAGCTGGCCATTCGGCCCATCGGCTCCACATTGATCCTCCAGTGAGCATCCCACCCAGAGCCGCTCCCCTTACTCTATAATCCTGCACTTCCCAGGGCTAACCCACCTGGACATCTCTGGACACTATGGGTAATTTAGCATGGCCAGTCCACCTAGCCAGCACATCTTTGGACTATGGGAGGAAACTGGAGCATGCGGAGGAACCCCACACACATATGGGGAGAATATACAAACTCCACACAGACAGTCACCCAAGACTGGAATCGAACCTGGGTCCCTGGTGCTGTGTGGCAGCAGTGCTAACCAATGAGCCACCATGCTGCGCATTTTTATTCACACTCTTTGTTAAAATCAAATTACGTTGACACATAAACCTATGTTTTTTTGTTTAATATTCACTCTAGGACAAATACTACAGTTACTTAATAATTCATCAGTATTACTGGCAGATATGAAAGGTTAACCAAATTAATGTTCTTTTTCTTGTACAGCTTTATGTATTTTGATCAATCTTTATTGTTTATGATGTTATGACATACAAATAGGGGACCAATATCCTGCAGTTCCTATCCACAAACTTCTACCTTCTTAGGTTACGTTACAAATATTCAACATGTTGGGGGTCGAAGTAAGGATTATTAGGATACTGGGCGGAGTGAGATGTGGTCTTGCTCTGTGCGGTTCTAGTCAAAAAAAAAAGTGTTCTTAACCCAACATCGCAGAGGCAGAAAAACCTCCCTCTACCTATAAGGAGCCCAGATTTTCCAATGGTCAAATTAGCATTTCTGCTGCGTAGATGGGAGTTGCACATTGGGATCCTGCAGAATCACCGACATAGCAGACTACAAGGGAAATTGGAAATGCTCTGGGCAATTCATCTACACATGAAACCGTCCACATATATCTATTTAATTCAGAGAATTTGGAAGGCTCTGTTGCCGCTAAGTAAACAGTTACTTAGGTAGACAATTAAAATCTAGCCTAAAGCTCGAGTAACTATTAAATGGACCCTCCAACTTACTCCACTCTCAAACCACTAACAGAACCCAGACCCTGACCCAAGACACCATCCTTTTTGCCTGGGATCCAACACTCACCTCTCCTCTTGTAACCTGAAAGCTCCCTGTTCCTGCACAGGACAGCGTTCCCTCTGCCTATAACACACCACCCTCTCTCCCCTGCAGAACCCAGCTGGTCCCAACAGCTCAGTTCTCTGTCATCCTGAAACTATACCAACTCCTCGACCACCAGTCAATCAACACCCCTACCCCTTAAGCCCCTTCTCGGACTCGACAACTTCCCACCCATCCCCCACAAACTCACTCCTCTCTGCCTGGGACCTGACACACCCCCATCAAGGACCCACCACCCCACCCTCAGCCCAGCCCGATTTCTTCATCCCACTTGACCTATCCTAAACATTCCACACTTACCTGCTCCATTCCCACTTTGCTCCTTGGTACACTACCCATCTGACAGCATATTTCCCCGATACCTTACTTAGCTGGCACTCTACCATAGTACCCACCCACACCGGCACCCTAATCTCACACATACCCTTTTACAGGAGCTGTCAAAGTTGCTGTCTATGGTGCTAGATACATAAATGACAGATTATGGCAACCGGCTGTGTGGTAAAGGGGGTGTGCTTTGTCTTCCCATGACTAGCCTGCACAATGAAAGACCTGTCAGTTTTAAAGCGTTCTGATCAGAACCTCCTGTCAGAAATGTGAATGTGAATTTCTCAATGTGAAAAAGGAGCACAGTGGCAATTTGAGCATGATGGCACTCCTTGGAAAACCCAGCCCAACTCAAATTTTTTTATAATTTTGATGACTGAAAGACATGCAGACTTGCATTTATATAGCATTGTTCACAATGTTAGGACACTCCAGAGTACTTTACAGCCAAAAAGTACTTTCGAAGAGTGTCCTAACATTGTGTTCTAACATTTTCGAAGCGTAGTCACTGTCGTGAAGCAGGAAATGTGGCTGCTTATTTGCACACAATAAGCTTTTTGCAATTGATAACATTTTAGAGATGGTAATTGAAGGATAAATATTAGTCAGGACATGAGGGAGAATTCCCCTGCTCTTTTGAAAACAGCCCCATTGGATCTTTTACATCTGCCTGAAAGAGGCATAATTTGCACACAACACAGCACCTCTGACAGGGCCTGGACTTTTGTGTTTAACTGTCTGGTACAGAACTTCGAAACACAACCTTCCAATTCAGAAACAGGCCACTGGTCAAGACGTTCATAACAAGTTGACTCTTGATTCCATGGCCTTCTGATTTTAAGGTTTAAACTAGCTAAAACAATTATTATTTGTTGGAGGATGAATTGCGAAATTTGGGTCAAATCTAATAAATCCTTAATACTGTTGACAAGATATACAAAAGAATCTGGATGTCCTCGTACAACAGTCATTAAAGGTAGTCAGACCATAAGACTCAGGAGCAGAATTAAACCATTTGCCCATCAAGTCTGCTCTGCCATTTGATCATGGCTGATATGTTTCTCAATCCCATTGTCCTGCCTTCTCCCTCTAACCCTTGATCCTCTTACTTATCAAGAACCTATCAATCTCTGCCTTAAAGACATTCAATGAATTGGCCTCCACAACCTTCTGTGGCAATGAATTCCACAGATTCACCACCTTCTGACTGCAGAAATTCCTCCTCATCTCAGTTCTAAAGGGCAGTCCCTTCACTCTGAGCCTATGTCCTTGGGTCCTAGTTTCTCCTACTAGTGGAAACATCTTCTACATAATAATGATAGCAGATAAAAGTGATAGTGTTTCCATTATAACCCTTCAACTGTTTTTCTGTCCACAAATGCTGCTGGACCCACAGATTCTCCAGCATTTTCTTGTTTGTTCCATATCTTCTGCATCCACAAATTTTGCTTTTATTTTCCTAAGATTTTATTTTAGTAATTAGGATAAGGGTAGCAGATACATGGGAACACCATCTCTTGCAAGTTTCCTTCCAAGTCACTCACCACATTGACTTGGAAATATATTGCAGTTCCTTCAGCATCACTGAGTCAAAATCGTGCAACTCCTTCCCTAACAGAACTGCAGGTCCAGCTACAGCAAATGGACTTGAGTAGTTCAAGATGGCAGTTCACCAACAATCTCTCAAGAACAACTGGGGATGAGCAATAAAAGCTGGCCCAATCAGTGATGCCCATGTCCCATGAGTGAATTCAAACAAAAAAAAATAGGTTGTGAACAGTGTCTCTGCCATGTTTCAAAATGTGAGATGGCAACACATTTGGGAATGAAAGAGAACAAAAAGAAATGAAAGGAAGGTTGGTGATGTGACAAGAACAGAGTGGTAGAGCACAGATTATGTTGGGAAAGGGATGATAACAGCAAATCTGAAAGAGAAAGGGACAATATCTGAGAAGTAGAACTATTTTCATGTCTGCTGACATGCATAACAAGAAGAAAAGTTAACAACTTCGTGAAAATGTTTGCACAGGTGTAGCAGCTTGGTCTCATAGATAAAATAATCTCAGAGTGGATAGGGAGAGAAAAAAACTGAGAAAGATCTTGGTTAATGACAAAATCATAGGGATGATTTGATTGGGCAAGAGAATGTGGTGAATGGGGATTGGGGTGAGTACAGAGGCAGGTGATCAGATGGTTTCCAACTTAATAACAAATAAAGGAGCCCTTCAAACTTCTTGTTGGAGATGATAGTAGGGGACCCAGAAAAGAAGAGCTGAAAAGAAATGTTCCTTATTTCCGTTATGAAAGTTGGAGATTATTCGTTCAACATTAGTTCACTACTCAATTGGCAAAGCTGCAGAATAGACGACAAATTATCCAGACTTAACACGATGTTCATGTTATCCCACAAATTTCAACAGTCTATCAGTTATGTCTGTAAGTAACAAGCTTGAATAATGAGACCATAGGGTACTACTGAAAGATTTCTTACATCTGCATTTCCTACATTACTACAATGACTACACTTCTAAACTACCAAATTGGCTTTAAAGGTGTCTACTGGTCATGAAAACACTATATAAAGGCAAATTTCTTAATTTTCTTTATCTGCATTGTTAAATTGAAAGGCTTAAAAACACTAATGGAAATAGCACAACTGGGGCTCTTGCTGATGTATTCTTCACCAATCTGGTACGCAAGTTTATTGGTATACAAGTATACAAATACATTCTCAAGAAACAACACAAGTCCTACTGCTGTATGACTGTCACTATAAAAGTGAAAAATACTTGCCATTATGCTTTATTGAAATCGTAGGCTAACCAGGATTAATTTAAGGGGGAAATTTAGAAAAACACAAGAGGGAGAAAGGGATGGAAGGTTGAGCTGATAGGGTTAAATAAAGAGGGGTGAAAAGATGCTCATTTGGAGCATAAACCCCGACATGGAGCAAATGTTTCTATGCTGCACATTCTATGTAATCAATGCAAAAGCAATGAACAACAAAATGAAATTAAAACCTTTGCATTCTATAAATGCTATATGCAAAGTATATAAATTGTCACACCAGCTTTTAGATAATATATGTGATTGGTTAGCTAGTTTGCAATGCAGAATGACACCGAAAACGTGGGTTCAATTCCTACACCAGCTGAGATTACCATAAAGGTTCTGCCTTCTCAAACACAGGTCATCCATTTTGGTAGAAATAACAGCAAAATGGACTATGTTTTAAATGGTAAAAAATTGCAGCACGCTGCTGTGCAGACGGACTTGGGTGTCCTTGTGCATGAATCGCTAAAAGTAGGATTGCAGGTGCAGCAGGTAATTAAAAAGGCAAATGGAATTTTGTCTGTCATTGCTTGAGGGATTGAGTTTAAAAACAGGGAGGCTATGCTGCAGCTGTATAGGGTTCTGGTGAGGCCAAACCTGGAGTACTGTGTGCAGTTTTGGTCTCCTTACTTGAGAAGGGATATACTAGCACTGGAGGGGGTGCAGAGGAGATTCACTCGGTTGATTCCAGAGTTGAGAGGGTTGGCTTATGAGTAGACACTGAGTAGGCTGGGATTATACTCATTAGAATTCAGAAGAATGAGGGGAGGTCTTATAGAAACATATAAGATTATGAAGGGAATAGATAAGGTGGAGGCAGGGAGGTTGTTTCTGCTAGCAGGTGAAACTAGGACTAGGGGGCATAGCCTCAAAATAAAGGGAAGCAGATGTAGGACTGAGGTCAGGAGGAACTTCTTCACCCAAAGGGTTGTGAATCTGCGGAATTCCCTGCCCAGTGAAGCGGTTGAAGCTACCTCGCTGAATGTGTTTAAGGCAAGGCTAGATAAATTTTTGAACAATAAAGGAATTAAGGGATATGGTGTGCAGGCAGGTAAGTGGAGCTGAGTCTCAAAAAGATCAGCCATGATCTTACTGAATGGCGGGGCAGGCTCGAGGGGCCGGATGGCCTACTCCTGCTCCTAGTTCTTATGTTCTTATGTTCTTATACCCCTCACCTGAAGCATGGTGACCTTCAGGTTAAACTCACCACCAGTCCTCTCTGTCTAATGAGAGAGCAGCCATATGGTCCTCTAAGACTATGGCTATCTTACTTAACTTGATGCAAATATGAAACTCAAATAATTAGCATGAAATGCTCCAGTACCTGGATTATTATTCATAATAGTTTTTGGTGGCCGTGGACATGGTTTTGGGAGATTAGTCTCACTCAGTGCTTTGGCTGCAGCAGCATGTTGAGCCTTTTTAATACTACTTCCTTCTGCTTCCCAGCTTTGATCTCCAAGAGTCAACTGTACAGTGAAGATCTGTATGAAAAGAAAATCAAAACCAATTACACCAATGATTGACATTTATGATGTTCTGTAAACATCTCAGAGTCCATCAAAATTTAAAACAGCAACCTCACCAGGGCATATACAAAATACTTCCAAATTCAACATTTTTAACCTGCCATTCTAATAAAGTAAACTTTATCAATTTCACAGAATTAGTCATTTAAAGAAGAAGTCAGTTTCCAATAAATTGTTACAGAACTTAGTTCTTATGCTTAATCATTCTTTGCATAAATAATTGGACACAGCTAAGCAACTGGCAGTACAGCTGCTAATGGTTGAGTGATGGGAAGGGGAGATGCACTGCTGGTAAGAGTGAAAAGAACAGATAGCTGGGCCAGAGGAAATTTCATAGAACGGGAGCATGAAGTCAGTGATGGAACTCAAACAAAAGGATGATAGTTCTAAACTCAAGACGTTGCCAAGGCAGCGAGAACAGGGGTGATTCAAAAGTGGAAGTTGGAGCAGAGTAGGATACATGCAGTAGAACTCTGGATAAGCTTCAGATTGTAATGATGCAGGCTGTGAGGCTGACTAGGGCAGCCTGGAATAGCTGAGTCTGAAGATTACAACTTCACAAATGTGGATTTCAACATTAGATGAGGTAACATAGGTTCAGAGAGGCTATTTAGCTGAGAAATGATGCTGGTAAATACCATACATATTCTTAAAGACATAACAAATTTTGTCCCATGACTTTAATAGCAATATTATACTATTAGCGTTTATTTGGAGACTCGGTTGGTAGCACTCTCAACATTGAGCCTTCTGCAGACTCACAATTTTTGGGGCAAGGAGATTCATGAGGGCCTTGCACTTGCTGTTGAAAGTAAAGTCGTGTCGAAAGGGGAAGGGGGAGGCCATGTATTAATAAACTACAGTAAATATTAACTGAAGCTGTGGAGGATCCAGTGACTAACTTCAGTAAATGTAGCACACACCATTCAGGATCCAGTCATGAGACTACATTTTGCACTAAATATAAACCACACTGGTGAGAATCCATTCCCTAAATGATTAAAAATTTTGCAGATAAAATGAGAGTTGATTGATAGTGAAGTAGAAATCAGGGAGATATAAATGAATTAGTCAAGTGGGCAGAAAAATGAAAAGCTGAAGAAGTTTGAGGTAATGCATTTGCAGAAGACAAGCAAGACAAGGTATACACAATAAACTGGAGGACTCCGAGAAATATGGAGGAATAGGCTGCATGTCCACAAATTCCAGAGGATAACCAGGCAAGTAGAACATGTGGTCAGAGAAGCATGCAGGAAATTTTCCTTTATTGCCTGCAACCTAGAATATAAAATGGAACAACTTTGAACCACTTAAAACATTAACTAGGGTGTACCTACAGTATTGAGTACAGTTCTGATGATATGACATCTGCATGACATGAAGGATGCAATTTCACCAAAGACAAAAAACAGGGCAGACTTGCTGCCAAGTCAGAATTTTAGTAATTTGAAAAGATTAGAAAGGCTGAGGTCTTCTTCAAACAAAGGAGGTTAAAGAGAGATTTAATTGAGCTTTATAAAATTCTACTACATCTAGATCGAGCGGATTGGAAAGACCTATTTCTGTTAGCAGACAAAATCGATTTTGAGGATACACAGATTTAAAACAGTTAGTAGAAGGATTAGAGAAAATTTCAAGAGACTTTTTCACTCAGAGGATGATGCATTTGAGAGCTCTGTGGCTGAAAAGCTGGCAGAGGCAGAAATCCAGATCACATTTTAAGTGAAATTTGGATATACACTTGAAGGTAGAAATCTATAGCACATAGAACAAGAACAGAAAGTGGGATTAGGTTGGATAACTCTTTTAAAGCCGGATAAATAATGATGGGTGAAATGTATTTTTCCCTGCGCTGTAAAGCTTTTAAGTTTTTAAATTATATGACATTCATAGTTTACACTAAACATAATCCACACCATTAAGGCTCCAATAATTAAACAACGGCAACTGTAAACTACACAAGTGAGAAAGGAATACAGTGTCTGTTTGTAAAAGACTGCAGAATTGCATGAAGCACAGCATCTCTGAAAAGTGGTAGGGTGATGTAAGTGGTAAATTGTCTGTGAAAGGGGTGTGGGTTGGATGAAATAAAAGGTGGGATTCTTCAGATGGCGAGAGCACGTCATCAACCGGAAGTCAGAGAAGAATGCACCTTGCTGATAGCAATGCTGTAGCTATTCAATACTCCACGTAGGACTAATTGTCTTTAGTTAGAACATCCCTCCCTTACCTGGGGAAAAAGCCCTCTACGGAGAGATACCCGTCAGTATAACTGGGGGCAGCTCTCTAGTCCCAGCATCAACTCCAGGAACAGCAACCGCTGCTTGTACTGCACATTTTTCAATGAGCCTAAGTGCTGCATGTGCACCGTAGAGGTGACTACTGGAAGTGGAGGCCAGGCCTGACCTGGATGGGGTGTGGTGGGGTCTTGTTGTAAAGTTTGGATGCAAAAAGAGTATTCAGAGGCAGGGGAAAGAACCTGGTGTGGTTTGGGCCCTGCTCAGGAAAAGAGGCCAGTGATAGAGGTGCCCGCCCCACCATCTTGAGGGCCGAGCAGGCTTAGCTACCAAGCTTTACTCATCCATCCTTAATCTCCTGCCACCAATCACAAAATTGTCCTTGGTAAGAAACAGCCCTTATGTGGCCATTAATTGGCTATGTAAAAACTTCAACCTGTTTGTTTCCTCTCCACCTATCCTCTCCTCTATCCATCTTCTATCCGCCTCCCACTCTCTCCCTATTTATTTCAGAACCCCCTTCCCCTCCCCCTTTTCTGATGAAGGGTCTAGGCCCGAAACGTCAGCCTTTCTGCTCCTATGATGCTGCTTGGCCTGCTGTGTTCATCCTGCCCTGCACCTTGTTGTCTCGGATTCTCCAGCATCTGCAGTTCCTACTATCTCTCACCCAATCCCTGACAGGTTTGGGGTGGATGAGTGGAATACACAGCAGTAAGGGTTTTATCAATAAATGCTAGGCTAGCCAGTGATGCCCACATCCAGTAAATAAAAAGGTCTTGTCAGGGGTGGGAAAAGAGGTGGGTGTGTGATAAAAATCCCAGCATGGTCTGTAGTACCTGGTTCTCCTTCACCAATCACAGTGCTGGCAGGTTTCACCTGGGTATAGGGTGGCCAGCTCTGAAACTGCCTGCTCCTCTAATTATTATGACTGTGTCATTAAATATCTCATTCAGAGCATAAGGAGTGACAGATTCAGATTTTGGAGCAGTTTCACTGGCTACACATGGAATTTGAGGCAAACCAGATATATGGAGGCAGATACACAGTGAGGAGCCAGACATGGCAATTAAGAAGGTGCACAAAATGGATAATGGTTTGAAGGTGACTAGGCCACTGGCACACAGACACCATCACCATCAGCACAAATTTCAACAAAAGTGGTACGTAGGCACTTAGGTAGCACAGGGTGTTGTCACCCTGCTGGCATTGTGACGAGGGGATTATGTTTCAAACACAATTGGGAGGCCACCTGAGCACATGGAAAGTGATTGCTGGGAATGGGAGGTTGATTCATATGTTACAGACTCAGTGACACCAAGGAGTTACACAGGAATGATAAAGTTCTAGCCATGAGGAAGGCAGAGAAGAAAGCATTGGTTTGGAGGCTGAAGTCAAAGCAAACTTCAGATGACCAAGAACAAGTGCTGGAGGGATCAGAAAGTTACATAACATGGTGCAGCACTGCTCACCCCATGCTCTGAAGTACTCAAAGTCACTGTGGCTTTGATAATCTTCACCTCTGGCTTCTTCCAAGGATTGGCTGTGTATATAAATGATGTCTCAGAAATTCTGTAGGTCACTGACATTTTTTTAGCCAAAGTTGGGAAGACACATACAATTTCAGACCTCGCAATCATGGTGGCAGTGTGTTTCACCTCCATCACTGTATTCCCCCAGTGCAAGTGTTATAATCCAGTTAGGGACCATTAGTTTATAAAGAAAAATCCAAACTTCATTTTAGCCAAAAAAACAACTATGCCACAAATTTCACATTTTTTTAAAAATCAAAACAGAAATGTACTTGTGTATAGAGCAAATTAAATAAAGCAAATACAAGTATGCTACCTTGATAGTTTATAACCACATATGTTGTTATGTACTCAGATTTATTTAAACTCCCCCAAGAATCCTCTTACATTAATGCATGCCACAGTCCACTGGAAACTATCCTTAATTTACCTTAGCTCCAGCTATTCTCACACGTAAAGCTTTCATTTACCATGTCTTGACTGTGGATGCCTCAGCTCTTGGTTCTAGTTACTTTTCCAATACTTCCAAGCTAATTCAGCTGATTTTAGTTTCTTTTCACAAGATTCTGTGGAGGACCTCTGTAGATTCTTCCATCAGTTTTAAACTAGGCAATCTTCCAGCTTCTGTTTCCTCACAAAATTCAAACAAAATTCAAACTGAAATTAAGACTCGTTCACTTACACATAGTGAATGAAGAAGTTAGGTTTTACACTGCAGGTCTAACTCTTATTTACTTTGGCTGACATTTAGTGAGCCACAATTAACACATGTGGTGCAAACTGCAATGGACCCTTTCAGCTAGCATCTTGATCAATTGTAAGCAGAAACTTTCTTAGGTTCTTGGGTTTAGTTTCAAGTGCAGACTGAGAAACTTGGGACAGAAAGAACTGTGATAATCTTTAAAAAGGGTAATTACGTGGGAATGAGGGCAGAGTTGGCTGAAGTGGACTAGGAAAGAGGTTTAACAGAAAAGATGGTTGATGAACAATGGTAAACATTTAAAAAATGTTAATCACCCAGAAAAAGGGAGGATTCTAGGTGGGGTTAAACTGACCATAGTCAACCAAGGAAGTTTTGGACAGTATCAAATTGAAAGGAAAAACATGCAATATGTCAAAGATTAGTGATAAATCAAAGGATTGAGAAAGTTTTAAAAGGCAACAAAAGTTCACCAAAACAAAAAATGAA